TCACGGCTCCCTGCAGGGATTCCCCCCTCCCCGCTCCGATCCTCAAGCGCTGACTGGCGGAACGGACGGGGGAGGAGCCGGTACAGCTGGCTCTGCCTCTAGATAGGCGGAGCCAGCTGTCACTCACGCAGCTGGGCGGATCTCGACATCGATGTTGGGATCCGTCCCGGCCGCGGCGTCTCAGTATACCGCGAGCTGTAGCTCCCTATATACTGAGCCTAGGGTGACGGGAGGAGGTTAGTATATGTCCTCCCGTTACCCTTAGGAGAACTACGGGGAAAAACACTGACCTCAGACTTCTCCTTTAAGCGATTTCCACAAACTAGTCCTAGATTTTTCCAACAGATCCCATAGGGTGAGAAGCACCAGACTTTAGTATTGGCACCGCGAGTCCACACATCCCCCGGAGGGAATGATGAGGTGGATCCACCTGAAAAGTCCCATTGCCCACTTTTGTTTGTGCATTGTAGATAAGGTTGTGGTGCAGTTGACCTGTGGTGGCAAGTCCAACAGCAGACCGCCCTAGGTAACGCCCACATGTGATGCTGGGCCTCCATGATTGACAGAACTGAAATCCAATTAATGAAAGGAGCGGGGCCGGGCACCGTCAGGATGGAGCTAGATGATGAAGGACAGAGGTCAGATAGAAGACTGAAGGGGAGGACGGAGGTCAGATAGAAGACTGAAGGGAAGGACGGAGGTCAGATAGAAGACTGAAGGGAAGGACGGAGGTCAGATAGAAGACTGAAGGGAAGGACGGAGGTCAGATATAAGACTGAAGGGGAGGACGGAGGTCAGATAGAAGACTGAAGGGGAGGACGGAGGTCAGATATAAGACTGAAGGGAAGGACGGAGGTCAGATAGAAGACTGAAGGGAAGGACGGAGGTCAGATAGAAGACTGAAGGGAAGGACGGAGGTCAGATAGAAGACTGAAGGGAAGGACGGAGGTCAGATAGAAGACTGAAGGGAAGGACGGAGGTCAGATAGAAGACTGAAGGGAAGGACGGAGGTCAGATAGAAGACTGAAGGGAAGGACGGAGGTCAGATAGAAGACTGAAGGGAAGGACGGAGGTCAGATAGAAGACTGAAGGGAAGGACGGAGGTCAGATAGAAGACTGAAGGGAAGGACGGAGGTCAGATAGAAGACTGAAGGGAAGGACGGAGGTCAGATAGAAGACTGAAGGGAAGGACGGAGGTCAGATAGAAGACTGAAGGGAAGGACGGAGGTCAGATAGAAGACTGAAGGGAAGGACGGAGGTCAGATAGAAGACTGAAGGGAAGGACGGAGGTCAGATAGAAGACTGAAGGGAAGGACGGAGGTCAGATAGAAGACTGAAGGGAAGGACGGAGGTCAGATAGAAGACTGAAGGGGAGGACGGAGGTCAGATAGAAGACTGAAGGAGGATGGAGGTCAGATAGAAGACTGGTAATAGTTACCCTGGAGGGGGGAGGTTGTTTTGCTTTCCTCCAGACCATTGCTGCTGGACTTGCATTAGGTTGCACTTCCTGCGCGTTGCTGATTGGTATCCGGTGACAGAAAACACGCTGGAGTTCCCTCCGGGAGGAATGCGCTGACATCACGCATGGAGCGGAGGACACTGGGGGGAATTCCCGGGTGATGTCAGTGGGATTCCTCTCCTCTGTGGTTCGGATTGCCAGATGTGCATTGCAATGAGCCGTCTGCGGCCGCGTGATGTAATATTGACCTCGTGTCCTGGGAGGGAAATACGAGGCCGGCACTAATGACACGTACCTGGCTGTTATGTCACCCTCCGGAACAAGCATGCAGGCAGTGAAATCAGAGATCCTAATCTGCATACTCGTTCTGGGTCAATACTCAGGAAGTATTGAAGTCACAGGATGATCATGACAGCCAGGAGAACCAGCGTCATCGGGAGGAGAGGACGGGAAATGGCAGCCTCCACGGCCTCCACGGCAGGTGTCAGCTGAACAGCGTTGGCCAGATATACCATTGGTGAATGGGAGAGTTGGGGGGCAGGGCGGGGACGGGGGTGTTGGTACAATAAATGGAGAATGACCCCCCCCCCCCTATGTTTCTCTCTTTCTGTCTGGACAGCTCCAGGATCGAACTCAGTTCAGTGACCATGACCTGGCAACCCTGAAGAAGTACTGGGACAACGGCATGACCAGCCTGGGCTCCGTGTGCCGAGAGAAGATAGAGGCCGTGGCTTCAGAGCTGAATGTGGACTGC